CATATTCTCATTTATTGGTTCCTGTTAATTATTTATGCTTATTATACGTAATAAATTTAAATGAAGACGAATAGTTTGCATATTAAATTCTTAAAATAAATTTAAACGAAAAGCAAACATTAAATAATTGAAGATAAATAAATATCAAAACAATTGTTCACAGCAGATATTAACATATTGCGTGCCTATATAAAAGAGAATATATTTATCACTTTTCATTGCTAAAAACTAATATTGGAAAACGAGTTTTGGACATGAGTGCTCATCAGAAATATGCAATTATCTTGCTGACAGATAAACTTCTTACATACGAAGGGGCACGAATTGATATATATATATATATATATATATATATATATATGTATGTATGTATATATGTATCTTGTAACTTTTTACATATATATAACTGAAAGACACTCACATGTCGAAAAACGGGAGAATTCATCACATATATATATATATATATATATATATATATATAGTTTATGCAAAACTAGGTAATCCGTATGGGTAAAACCTATGAGGATGATATCATATATATATATATATATATATATATATATATATATATATATATATATATATATATATATATATATATATATATATATATATATATATATATATATATATAATAAAGAAAGAAAGAACAGTAATATATATAATCCGGAGTTCTTATAGATATTTTTATTTATTTTGAAACATGGTTAGAACTATGTAGCGGAAATATATATATATATATATATATATATATATATATATGACGAATTGTGATCATATATATATATATATATATATATATATATATATATATATATATATATATATATATATCATGATGATGATGATGATGATGATAGACTCTCCCGTCGTTTTTCGAAGTATGAGAGCCTTTCAGTTCAACTTTTTATGTTTCTGTTTCGTATGAGACAACAAACCTGCACGGGATTTGCAAACAGATCCACACGAAGGGGCAAACTGAAGGGTTGACCGTCATATGGTCTGGTGTATTATCCCGTGATTTAGTGTTAATCCTTAATTCTCTGAGATGGTTCAGACGTTTCTTTTCAAAGTATATATATATAGACCTTTGGGCATGTGTGTTAAAATTTATTGAATTTGGTTATTCCGAAATCTAACATTTTTTTTAATGATATTCTTTACCAAATATTTTATTTAAACAATTTTGCAATTTTTTCGAATATAATGATGATATAATTTTTTCATTTTCTGCACTCTCAAGGAAATAATGTAAGAATATTAGAAAAACTAAATTATATATATATATATATGTGTGTGTGTGTGTGTGTGTGCGCGTTCGTGTGTGTTTGACAGAAGTGAGTAGAATTAAATTAATCAATTCAATCAAATTATTAAAGTATTTCACCCTGATCGATAAATAGGTTGGTATGTAGATAGGTAGGTAACTTGTATGTATGTAGATAGATAGATAAATATATATATATATATATATATATATATATATATATATATATATATATATAGATAGATAGATAGATAGATAGATGAATAGATAGATAGATAGATAGATAGATTTGAAAAAAGATTTGCCATATACAATATAAATATATATTAAAAAAAAAGTTACACCCACATACTTGCAAATGCTCGCGCACGCACACAGACGCACACATTCACATATATATTTACACGCATACATATATACAATGCATATATCTGTCAAATGTATTTTGTTTGAATATATAGGAGTACTTTTTAATTTCTCAATATAATAAACTTATTTGAATAAGCATGTGATTAAATATATATATATATATATATATATATATATATATATATATATATATATATAAATTTAAATAAAAACAGACCACTTTTATAGTACCATGTAATAAATTAATTGCCACAGCCCTTTTAAAGGACTGTGGATCACCAGACTTACTTTTAGGTTTGGAAGTAAAGTCTGATGATTCGCAGTCCTTTAAAAGGGCTGTAGCGAAATAATTTATTACATACCTTATATAGCTTAAAGTGGTCTGTTTTTATTTAAATCATTTGCTCTGAATTTACATTGAGCTTTCTGGATTTTATCCTCCTTAGGTTTACCCATACGGATTACCTAGTTTTTCATAAACTAAATACATATATATATATATATATATATATATATAATTATTATATATGCTGTTGTGTGCATGAGTGGGCTGTATGAGTGGTTAGTGTGCGTGTTTGAGTGTATTGTATGTGTGTTTCGTTAAGAAAAAATGCAAGTTACAGAGTTATAAATATTCAGAAATATTCGTCAGGTGTTAGTATCGGATATAAAGGTCCTTAGTTATCTATCATGTCATTGCAAGTAAACGACTGACACTGTTATATATGTGGGTTGAAATAACAGAAAAGAAAGAGGTAAGAAAAGGTGTGAGGCGCTGACTATAGAGGAGGGTGAGAGTTACGCAGCGAGTGAAAGCGAGTTAAGTTAAGGTGGGGTCAACAAGACGTGAGCGGCGCAGTTAGCAAAGGGTAAGTACAAAATAAAGAAACGCGCCAATTATTTGCGTATGCTTTTCTAGACAGACACTAAAATACACAAATACATATCTACTTCTATACATATATTTAATACCTTTCTTGATATCACTCTCTCTCACTCTCTATCTCTCTCTCTCTCTCTCTCTCTCTCTATCGATATATAAATCCACGCATGCATGTACCTTAATTTTAATATTAATATATTTATATAAGTATATTTACACAGGTAAGTAGATGTATAATGACATACTTTCCACGAACATTTGTATAAAAATATGTGCATATTTGTACAGACACTTTAAAACGGACGTCTATTTAGATTATCAATCGGGTGACTGAGCAGATAGATAAATGGATAGGTACAAAATAATAATAGATTGAAACAGAGATAGATAGATAGATAGATAGATAGATAGATAGATAGATAGATAGATAGATAGATAGATGAACAGACTAAGACAGACAGATATATCGATATGATCAAACTGAGACAGAAAGACAGACAGACAGACAGATAGATAGATAGATAGATAGATAGATAGATAGATAGATAGATAGATAGATAGATAGATAGATAGGGAGGGAGAGATTTAATCACGTGTGTCGTTTTCTAATTCATATTTACTGAGCGAAAAAATCCAAAACACTAGAAAAGTCAAAGTAAATATTTACATATCATAATGCAGAAGCAAAACAACATACGTCTCAATATGTCTACACAGGTAGACAATGACAGAAATTATTTTGAAATTGTGTGATTTCA